AGTCTGCATAACATATTTATTCCCGAGAGGAAAGGTGGGAGCTTGTTATTTAAAGGAACAAATAGTAAATGTCTTTGGCTTGTGAGCCATATGATTTGTGTTGTGACACTCACCTTTGCTCTTGCAGTATTCAGTGCATAAATTTGTTGATTCAACATGATGTTTCCAATAAAACTTTGTTTACAAAAATGGGTAGAAGCTAGATATGATCATACTTTGCTGAGTTCTGGCTTAGCATGATACCTTGTGGTTTATTTATGCTGTGGTATAGATCAGTAGTTTAGTCCTTTTAAAAACTTCTGATTTGCTAGTATGGTGGCACACACCTGTAACCTCAGCACTTGGGAGAATGAGGCAAGAGGGTTGCCATGAGTTCCTAGAGAGCCTGTTGGGATCTGTTGGTCACTCAATGTACTCCATTGTATGCAGGGTGAAATGGTGGCAAGAATGAGGAAAAGATAAACAAGAAGACAAGAGCTGGGTCAGGTGGTTGCCTGTCTGCCTGGTTGGCAAGATGACTCCAGAACAACAATATGGGCATGTATATGTACCTTTGCAAAGTTAGTAACATGTGGCACAAGGTTGCCAACTGACTAATAGCTGACAACCAGTCAGCATGCTTATCTCGGGACTGAGGTAGTTTTACTACTTTAGTTAGGCACTGGGGCCTAGTCCTGCCTACACACATTGACCAGTTTCCAGCTTCTGGGAGCAACAACAGGCTGGGCTACATAGTGAGTACAAGGGCAGCCTGAACTACATAGTAAAACCCTGCCTGTGCCCTCCCTCCCACTTGCCATTATTATCCCATTGCATAGGTATCCACAGTTAAGTCCTTTACCAGGTGAAGGACATTTGAGTTTTTCAAAGTTTTGAACAGATGCAAATAAAGCCATTATAAATTCTTTTGCTGTATTTCTGTGTGGACTCATTTTCATTCCTTTTGAGTAATTACTTAGGAGTGTATTTGTTAGGTTGGACAGGAAATATATTTTTACCTTCTTAAAACACTTCCAAACCATTTTCCAGAATGGCTGCATCGTTTTGCAATACCAGCAGCAGTGTAAGTGTAGGAGAGTTCCAGTTGGGTTCTATCCCCAACAGTTCAAGTTGTGTTCTGTCAACAGCACTTGGCATTTTTTTCTTTTTAATTTTATTCATTGTAAAAGAATATGAAGAATTTTATTTTACAGAATGAGGATGTGTATCTTTAACCTAAATTACATTAGAAACTCTTGGAGGGTTTCACACATATCAATGACATTATTTGGGTTTAAAATGATTACTGTCTATGTAGCAAGCAGAATGATTTGGAAAGAGGAAGGGTATATGTGAAGATTTCATACAGGTCTTTAAAAACATGTCATACGGGTCACAATGAATATGAAAAAATGGCCAGACATGAGAATTTTTAAAGAGGTGGAATTGTCATGGCTCAGTGATGGATCATTTGTGGCATGGAATCAAGTGGAAGTTGTCAAGGATGCTGCCAGCATTTTTCACACAAGCAACCACATAAATAATGGTACCCTTCTTGAAGGGAGGAACACTTACAGGAAAACAAACTTGGAGAGATACATAGCTATCAGATCAACTTTGAGATAGATATAAGATGCCTAAAATGGAGGTTTCTGGGCCGTTTGATATCTGGATTTCAGAGTGGGGAAACAAAATTAGGACTCATTGTGGTGTAAGGGATATTTCATGATACAAGGTAGATGAGATTCTCTAGGGAGAGGGTTCTTACAATTTGAGAAGAGTGAGTATATTTAAGAGGAATATCAGTGATTCTTGGTGGGCAACCGAGTGTCATCCAGAGGAAGCTGAGAATGATTTGGAGAGACTGGAGAAAGAGAATTGTGTGAAAGATGGGGAGGTGAGTGAACATGCGGTATGCTGTAGGAAGCAGTAGTAGCATGGGGAGCATTAGTTTGTCCTGGTAGCAATTGCATGTATGTGAAAAGCCTGATTAGAGGCAATTGAGGGGTATGGACTAAGGCAGTACAAAAACTAATGCTTATAGACTGCTTAAAAATTTTTAGGATGGCAATTTGAAACTTATGAGAGAAGTATTTTTAATTGTTGAGAAGGGAATGTTAGAGCATGCTGGTGAGAAAGGTGAGTGAGGCAGGGCACAAACACAGGAGATACAGTGCATCCAGCAGGCATACCTGTTGACAGTCAGATCAAGTCTGCCTGCTGAAGGAAACTCAAGCCTTCATATGTGGAGCAGAATAGGGAACTGTTAGTATTAGCAGATTCTAATGAACTATATCATAATATGGTCTTTAAATATATTTTTCAAGTATTTCTAGAAAACCTACCAAGTAGAAAATGTCAGCAATTCTTTGGATGTGTGAAAATGCTTTGGTGTTTTAGTCACTTGTCAGTCTCATGTCCAAGTCCTGCCCATCTGTCATGGTGCGGCTGAAGCCTTCAGATGAAAGATTGTCCCTCCCTCCCTCCCTCATCTGAGTGGTCATATCCTGGTATGGTTTTTCCCTCTATTTTGACATTTGTTCTTTTTACATATGTGTGAGTGTGAGTGTGTGTGTGTGTGTGTGTGTGTGTGTGTGTGTGTAACGATAGTGACTCATTAGATGACTGAAGCAGAGACCATGGCTAAGAGGTATTTTTCTTCAAAATACCTGACAGCATTACTTATTTAGTTAAGTCTATATAAAGGTAAATGAGAGGCAATAATTATTAGCAAATAATTAGGAAGACTTATACTTTGCAGGGTAAAATTTTTGTGGCTTGGCATCTGAAGTAATAGTCTGGAAAATCATAGCATCTGATTGATTATAACCTTTGTTATATTTAGCAAGATAAGTTTTGAGAACTTATTTGGAGGTTCTAGCAGGGAAGTGCAGCAACTCCTGTACCTTTGGTTATGGAATGGTCCTCCTCTGTCAGAGGATGGCTATCTGAGCGCTCCACTTTGTGAGGGACACACATGGAGCATTGAGGGAGGAAAGGGTTGCCTGCCTAGTCAGCTAGAACAGCCAAGTCAGCCCAGGGTGACAGATGTCACAGCTAGATCACTCTCTTATCCAAGATAGATTCCTTTTTATATGCTGTTAGAAGAGTCCCTTTGTGTAGTAATAATGGTACCAAGTACTGTAGGACAGTACTATCTAGTTTACCGGTGACTTTGATATTACTGTTGCATTCAGAGAGAAGACAAGCCAGAGTTGGAGAGACAGAGACATTAAAGTGGGCTTTATCATTTTAGAATGAAGAAACCAAGGCTCAAAGAGATAATGTGTTAGGAATTACATTGCTGATAAACAGGAGTGCAAGTTGGGATACTCTGACACTAACCCCAGGTTTTCTTAGGATACCCTGGTTGCTAGACTGCTTTCATAGAAATCCAATTATCTAGATAATAAATCAAACCATAGGGAGTCATTTATTGTATTTGCTGGATAAAAAAATCTACTTATCAGGGGCTGGCCAAACAGCTCAGCGGATTAGGCCAAGGGTTCAATCTCCAGGCCTGCCTTGCCGGCCCTGCCCCTGGGGCACACTATGATAGTAATTGAGACTGGGCATGGTGGCATACACCTGTAATCCCAGCTCTTGGGAGGCTGTAAACAGGCAGATCACTACGAGTCCGATCTAGTAGTCAGACCCTGAACACCCTGTAGACCCTTCCCTAAAACACAAAAAATAAAATAAAATAAAAATCTACTTATCCGGAATGATCGGAACAATCTCTAAGTCAAGCATAAGTCTTTTTCAACAAACTTTGGCCTGGATATATGTATGGCTATGACAGCAGAATGGGAAAAATGCCACCATATGAATTATGCTGATACTGTTTTAAAGAGAAGATAAATGTTAGTATCCGTGGGTTACTAATAGAGCAACATTGGTCAGTGCAGTGAATAAGCCTACTGTTACAGTTTAGAAATAAACAGATATATGTGTTTTGCATTTTCACTCTGACTCAGGTTCTGGCAACTACCTTCTTTTTTTGAATATTGATATTGTTTTTGGTTTGTGATCACGTTAAAGTTACATTATTGTACACAAATTAGTAATAGAGGATATCATTACCCTTTAAGAGGACCAGGCCTAGCTTTAATGACTAATTTTTAAACAATGGAAATAATATAAAATAAATGCATTAAATCCTTGATTTTATATTAAAATATTTAATGAGGAAGCCTCTGAATAAAATATTTAAAAATATAATTGTAGTTAAATATAGCTAATTACTCAAGGTGGCAAGGACATTTGTTTTAATTGAACTAACCCAGACTTATAGAACACAAATTCTGGAATATATTTTTGCCATGGAAACTGAGGAATAAGCAATGTATTTTTAAGAAGTTGCAGAAAAGCAAAGTGGTATTTTTTCTTTTTTGTGATGTTAATGCTTTTAAATATTACTTGGGTGAATTGTTGTTACTGTGTAGTACATTTCCTTCTTTTGCCCTATAAATTATCTCAGGCTTTTGGGAATTATTACCCTGCAGTGGAAATGATTAAACTTGGCTTTATAAAGCCAAAAGAAGAAGTTTTGAATCTGAAGCTATGTCTTTTATGGCTGATTGAGACTCATGTAAAGAATACGCTTAGCAGGCCAACCAAATAGCTCAGCAGATTAAAGCACCTGCAAGTAGATGCAGGGCCGGGAGTTCAATCCTCAGGCCTGCTGTGTAGCCCCTGACCCCAGGGCACACTGAAATGGCAATTGAGACTGGACATGGTGGCGTGTGCCTGTAATCCTGTCTCTTGGGAGACTGTAAACAGGTGGATCACTATGAGTCTGATCTACATAGTGAGACCCTGAACACCCTGTAGACCCTTCCCTAAAAAAAAATACACTTAGCTATCCTTCCCCTGTGATGTTGGTCCCTCGTGTCCCTGGGGACTCTGGTGTGGCTCCGCAGTTCCTCCTCTCCACTCCAAATTTCTTGTTTTAGAGTATAGTCACGTGTATTAGAGCCGCATCCTGGGTGAAGCCCTGAGAGTGATTTTTTTTTCATTAGGTGAACTTGGCCTATGTGGAAGCAGCAGAGTACTTTGCAGAACCTGTTAACAGGGAGCCTCCTTCCAGAGAAGCTCAGCTTCTGACTTTGAAGAACACTTCAGAATTTGACGTCCTTGTGATTGGAGGAGGAGCAACAGGCTGTGGCTGTGCATTGGACGCTGTCACCAGAGGTGAGGCCTGACACGGGCGAATGCGGCACAGGTAAAAGCTCCCTCCTCCACCCCCAGGAGGCATGCTGTGTGAATGAAGTCGCATTTCTTTCGTGTTTCCTAATATTTCTTCCTTTGTGAAACACTTTTACAATTTTTAAAATGTATTTGTTGGGGTAACCTGCTTGGCTGCCCCTCTGTCCCTCACTTGGACAGGAGCTTTCTTTTCCCCAATAAATATATTCTGCTCTTAAAAAATATATACACTTGCATAATTTAAAAATTAAATAAAACTTGTCTTCTGTATGGTGGATTTGTTTAAAAAGAAAATTTAAAATTTCTGTATGCTAATTGATTTGATGTTTATTTTTTTCATATAGTGAACATATTTATCGTATATGGACTAAAAATATGTACCACCCGAAATCACATGGCAGTTGGGTAGAAAAGATGTGTTCAAATGAAGTAGTTTATTCCCATCATTCTTTTTGTTCATGTACCTCTCAACACTGTTCCTACTGTTGAAGTATGGGTTGCAGTTTGGAAAGTCCATTTGGTGCCTTGGGTCATGGATTTGCTTTTATTTCACAATTCTAGTCTCAACCTGAGTTGGACAGCAACCAAATTAGTCTAGAGTTGGCTTTATGTTGACTTTATGGGAAATTTTGAGATGATTTTCACCCAATTCACTTTGTGACCAGAATCATGGAGAAAACTGAGTTTGTGAACTGAGGTACCACTGTAGTGGAAAACACGCTTTCTCTCTCTCTCTCTCTCTCTCTCTCTCTCTCTCTCTCTCTCTCTCTCTCTCTTTTGAGACAGTGTCTTGCTACATAGTTCAGGCTGGCTTTGAATTGACTATATAGTCCAGGCTGGCCTTGAACTCATGGCAGTCCTCCTGCCTCAGCCTCCCGAGTGCTGGGATTACTGGTGTTCACCATTATTCCCAACAAAATAAGCACTGTTATTAATAAACAGTTCTGCCCCAGTTACCTTCTCTACTATTGATAAGTATTAATGAAGATGTCTTGGTTACTTTTTTCTCACTGATGAACCAAACTAACCAACACCCAAAATTAAGGAAAGAAAGGTTTATTTAGCTTATAGTTTGTGGAGGTTTCAGCCCCTGATCAGCTGGCTTCAATGCAGGCTGGCATGGCCCAGGGGCAACATTTTAAGGTGGCAGAGACAGCAAAAGCGACAAGATCAGAAAGGGTTGTGGGGGGAACAAGCCTCTTTTTCTCCCTTATATTGTATGCAGGCTTCCCCCCTCTCTTCCTCCCACACAGTGGGTGCCCTTCTTTTGCACAGTCTTGAGATGTTTATAAAATGAGGGCCCTGGTCCCCTGCTGAGTCACTTAATTTAATTTCTAAACTGAAATTGACACAGTGTATCAACCATTACAGAAGATATGATGAAAAATTTCCTAAAAGTGGAAAGATTACTGAAGGAAAGTGTAGTGTGGAAGAACAGTGCTCTTACAAATATGATGTAGCTAACAAAATAATCTTTGGAGATAGGCAAACTGTGGGATTAGTGTGGAGTACGGAGTCAAAGAAATCCAGGGGTGTGTGTGTGTGTGTGTGTGTGTGTTCTCTGAAGATCTTTATGTTTCAAATAGTTTTAAAATAATACCTGCTTTGAATGATCGTTGTTAATGTCACTATGTAATTTTGAGCCGAGTTAGAACACTGCTGGGTCATGTGAAGTAGATGCTTATTATCATACAGAGAATTTTAACTACTATTATTAACATGAAGGTAAAAGATTTTTAGAACCAATTTCCCTGAAGAAATAATACTACGTGATATCTTTGAATTGGGTTAGGCATGGTGACACAGGCTGAGGCAAGAGAAGTCTGTGAGTTCAGATAATGGGTTCAAGGCCCATGTGGAATATATAACAAGATTCTGTTTCCAAAACAAAACTCTCCAGAAATGTATTAACTTAAGTTGGGTACTGCTGCAGGGGATTTTTACCTCTGTATTAATTTAGGTTCTAAATAATATTCAGTATTTATGACAATTTCATACTTGGTGATAGTAATTTATTATGGAATGATTTTTCTCAGATCAGTGAAGTTCTTACCAATGCTGGCCTTGATTTGTTTATCTCATGTACCTGGTAGAATTTACTGTTATGAAAATGAAGTGTATTTAATGAGATTTAAACACACATTTTCACAGCACCCACATTTAGATTTTGATCTGTGTGAACCTCACAGAGGAATCACTTTTTGTTTTAACTTTAATAATGGTAAGTTCAAACTAGAGGCATTGGAGGGCTGGAGAGAGAGCTCCATGGCACAAACATCTTCCTGGCAAGTGCAGGTTCCTGAGTTCTATTCCTGGCAACAAAACAAAGCAGAACAAAAGTATAGGCATTGGAATCTAGTTGACCCACATTTCCTCTCTCCAGTCATAGAATGTAATTTGAGCCAGGTTATCTTTGAACAGGAGAGAACAGATAGGAAGAACAGTGATCACTACCTCAAGGGACCTGGGGAAGTGAGTGGAAAGAGGAAACATTCCCAGCATAATGGAAGGTGTTGTTTGGGACCATGTCTCTTAGGAATTAAAGTTTATGTATGTGACAATTTTCTGTATCAAAGGGAATCCCTAATAGGATTCAGAAAAACATATTTGATATTTCCAGTTACTTTTATGCTATTGTATTAAAATATTTAACCATTCTTTTTCATTTTTTTTTTTTTTTTTTTTTTTTTTTACACCCATTCTTTTAGTTCTGCAAATACACATTCAGAGCCTGCTGTATGTGTGGCAAATACGTAGGGTACTGTAAGAGAATACAGAGGTGATTGATAGAGCTCCGTCGTGCTTGTTTCATACAGCAGATTACATCATCAAGGATGTGAGTCTTTCAAGAGGCTCCAGCACCCGATACAGGCAGGAGTGGCTGGGGGCAGCTGTGTCTTCAGGGAGTGATCAGAAGCAGGAGGGCTGCTGTTCACTGTGGGTGATTTTAGTAGGCGAATACTGCTTGTTGAAAGTGTTCCACGCTCAGGAACATGCAGGCGTGACCCATGTAGAATCAGTGAATGTGGGAGAGTAAGTATAGAATGTACTTTTTTTATTTTTGAGACAGGGTCTTGCTATGCAGCTCAGGCTTATCTCGATCCTCCTGCCTCTACCACCCCAGCGCAGGCATTACAGATGTGTGCCACCATACCTGGCTGGTTCTTTAATTTGGAGCAGGATATTAGCATTCTTGTCACAGGCACAAAATACCTGACAATCTAAATTTTGGCTGACAGTTTTCAGGTCCACAGTCAGTTGACTCTAAGGCAGAAACTGTTTGAAGGCAGTGCATGGCAGAAGAAAACTGCTCATTGCAGGGCAGCCAGGAAGCAGAGAAAGGAGGGAGGCACTCTGAGTGAGCTGTTTCCAGTCAGCCCCACCTCATGGCAGCCTTTCACCCGGGAACTCTTCGTGGATCAGTGCACTGACAGTCCATGCCCTCATGATAACAGGCAGTGCTGGAAAGGAGAGAGAGGCAGGTCTGGCTGTGGTGTGCCAGAAGGCCTTTGGCTGATTGACTGACCTCTGCTCCCCTCCCCTCCCTTGTCCTCTCTCCCCACCCAAACTTTCCAGAGATCTGGAGATAAATGAAATACAAAGGAAATAATTGCTGGGGATGTAGCTCAGTGGTACTAGCACCTGCTGGGTAAGTGCAACATCCCAAGTTCAGTTCCCTGTACCCCCCCCCCCCACATCCCAAAAACAAACACAAAACAAAGGAGAGGAAATAATTAATGCTGCAGTAGGATATAAAGAAGGGAGGCAGTATATTCAAGGATTTCTTTTTCCCTTTTTTCCTTCCCTTTCTTCTGTCTTCTCCTGTCTCTCTCCCTGTCTCTCTATCTGTGTGTCTGCCTCTGTTTGTCTCTGTGTCTCTGTCTTGGTCTCTATGTCTGTCTCTCTCTTTCTGAATGATCTGAACATTTCTTTACACTAAGAGGGAAAGAGGGGGAAAACCTTAGCAGAATCTCATAGAAACCTGGGAAGCAGTGTCTTGTGACAAGGAAAAGGGTATCAGAATGTGTTTTAGTTTTGGTAGGGAGAAAAGATTTGTTTCTCAGAGACAAAGGGTAAAGATTCTAAGATACAGAAAAGCAAGCTTGAAGCACAAGGACCTGGGTTCGATCCCTGGTACCGTATGCCCCAGTGGCCACTGAAACTGGGTGTGTTGGTGCACGCCTGTAATCCCAGCACTAGGGAGACTGAGACAGGAGGATCACTACAAATCAGAGTTGTGTAGTGAGACCTTGTACCAAATAAATAAATAAATAAATAAATAAATAAATAAATGTATGTTTAAAAGAAAAAGAAGAGTGAGCTTTCATGAGAATTATTCTTAAATAACCAGCAGAAAAAAAGTGATGTTTTACTTCTGGGTGAGAAGAAACAACACTAATATAAAAAAGGTGTACAGTTACTTTATACTGGGTGTGATGGCACATGCCTATGATTCCGGCACTCAGGAGGCTAAAGCAGAAGGATTGTTGTGAGTTTGAGGCCAGCAGGCCAGCCTGGACTATACAATGAGACCCTGTCACAAAAAGCAAAAAGTTACCTTTTAGAAACTGTAATAGGGAAAAAGGATTCTTTGAGGTTAGAAAAATGTAGAGTTGCTATGCATGGAGAAGAAGGAAAGAGGGAAGGAAGGAAGGAGGGGGAGAGAGCAAAGAGGAAGAGAGGGAGAGAGACAAAGAAAAGGAAGGAAGGTAGGAAAGAAAGAAAGAGCAAGCCTGGAGGTCTTCTCAGTTTTGCGCAGCACAGAGGGAGAGAAAATAGTAAGGTACAATCCAGAATTGAGAATGGATATGCGTAATAAAAGGAGAAAATAAGGAAAGACCATATGACAGCAGGGAAATTGTGTAAAGATAGACTTGGAACTGAACGGGCTCAGAAAGACTGTGAGTGCAGGCCTAGGCATCACCAAGTGCCTCTTACTGCTTTCCTCCTTTTGAAAAGTTTCACCTATGTTTATTTCTGTATTT